GGGCAGACAGAAGTGGGGTGGATGGACCAGTGGGGCAAGCTGTTTGAAAAGGACATTAAGAGCACCTCTGAGGGTTTAATTCCCTGCCTTGTTCCAAGAGTCTCTCTTTTCTCATTCAAAATTGCAATTGCTTTGAGCTCCTCCAGATAGGAGTCTCTGAGACTCACTGCAGATGGTTTAAAATGAATAATTCAGTATCTCCTACTGATTTTAAAGAGAGGCAAAATTATCTGACTGACGATTCTCTGAAGAATTAAAGAGATCACATACAAAATTAATATACATTGTTGGAGCTTATTAAACATTTACAATTGTTTAGCCACGAGACACTACAAGAATCAGAGAATCAGAGAATGGCTTGGGCTGGAAAGGACCTCAGAATTTATCCATTTCCGATCCACCCCCTGTGCACAGGGTTGCCACCCATCAGAACAGGCTGCCCAGGGCCTTCTCAAGCACCCTGAGGGTTAAATGTTCATGAGGTCTGAGCAGGCAAGACCAGCTCAATTGGCAGATCCCCAAGCACTGACTAGCCAGGAGGCTTTTGCTGAACATGTGTCCCAGTGTTTGAATGTCCCAGCACCCACTGCTCTCAGCATAGCCTTGAAGAGCCCATTGCGTAATTCCGTGATCCTGAGGCTGGTGCATGATAGGACATATGATACACTCATTCAGTGCTGTGCTCTTTGGCCCAGGTGGTTATGAGATTGTTTTGGAAATGAGTCCCATTGCCTGACTCCGTTCTTTCTGAGGTGTGATGTTAGCACAAGACTTACTTTTCAAGACCCAGCATAGCATTTCAGGCGGTGGCATGGGATATATTCCAAGTCAGCCAGTGGTTGCTTCCACCACTGTAGCACACAGCGTTTGCCATGGTGTGTTTGTGGGAGCGTGATGCCTAACTGCCATGCATCTTCGTACTTGTATTTCAGCTGTTCTCCTCCATACCAAAGAGGTTTTATCCCCTTGCAGCACATGTTTCACATTCACAGATACAGTGTGCAACAGCATCCATAGTCAAGTCCACCCCTCATTCCCAAGCTCATCTAAACTTGCAGCTCTTCCTTGACGGCCTGCTGTGACATGGGCCCAGCAAGCTAGAAATAATTCACCCTTATTTTGCCACTCCAGATCTACCTGAGCTGTCTCAATCCTAGCGGCCCAATCCACCTGCTGGCTGTTTTGATGTCCTTCAGTTGCATGACTCTTGGGTACGTGAGTGTCTACGTGACATACCTTTACAACCTGAACGCCCAGATCTCTTTTTTTCTGGCAGTTTATCGTATAGCGGGGACTCTTCAGCACATGACCTCCTCTTCTGGTGATATTCCAAAATCTTCGCCTTCAGGCCAGTCTTTAACTGCTTCTAAGATTCCTGGATAACTATGGGATTCCCTTTTTGAGCCCATTGTGTGATCAGTGTGACCCACTTACTCCACTTAGAATCAGCAGCATGATGTGTGGAGAAGACACTTCCTTCAAACATCCATCCCAGCACAGGCAGTCAGGGTGTCAAGAGGAGTTGTGCTTCAGTACCAGTCATTTCCAAAGCTGCTTGGACACCTTCATATGCTGCTAATATCTGTTTTTCAATTGCAGTATAGTGGGACTCAGATCCCCTGTATCTCTGGCTCCAACACCCCAGGGGCTGACCTCGAGTCTTCCCGGGGGCTTTCTTTCTGCTAGAGGCTCCAGGTGGGGCCATTCTTCCCAGTTTCAGTGCAGAGCACATTTTTACATCTTGTCCTGCCTGGACTGCCCCAAGGGCTTCTGCACCAACTGTCTCCTTTTTAATCTGTTCAAAGGTTGCTGTTACTCAGGGCCCCATGTGGAATCTCTCTTCTGGGACACGTAGTAGAAAGAGTTTACAATCAGATTTAATCCAGAATATTTGTTCTCCAGAAACCCATGGGCCAGGTCCCAGTGTGCTGCAGTGATTTATGTCTCTTTAGGATTGCCAGGGTGATGGCAGACCTTTTCCAAATATTCCACTAGTTTTTCATGATTCTGCAGCTGTTCAGAGTGAAGTTTCAAACTTGTGGGGGTGTTCACTTCTCTAGGCACCTGTCCATACCACCCCACACTCCCTGCCACTCAGATCTATCCTGTGTCAGGGCAGAGATCTCTGGGTTACTTTTAAATTGTTAAACCTTAAACATAACCTGAAACACATTCACAACACATTGCAATAGGAGCACGCTAATTTGAACATCCCACAGATATTCAAAATCCTCAAGAGCTATTGTAACTAATCTAGGGAAAGGAGGAAAATGAAAGAGAAAGGGATGCTGAAGAACTACTGGAAAATGCACTTCCTTATCTCCTCAATAGCTGGGCTCCCCAAGGAGACAAAGCAAAGTGTGCAATTACTAATAGCCTCCACAGAGTGGTTTCTCAAACCCAGAGATGACTGCAATGCTGAGTTCACACACATTATACCCTGCATAATCTATGATGAAATGGTTTTGGAGCTGCTTCAAAAGCTGGACACTCACAAGTCCATGGGCCAGATGGACTGCACCCTAGAGTGCTGGGGGAGTTGGCAGACGTGGTTGCCAAGCCACTCTCCATCATCCCGTGTCCTGGCTAACTGGGGATGTCCCAGCAGAATAGAGACTGGCAAATGTGACGCCCATCTTCAAAAAGGGCCAGAAAGATCCTGGTAGCTACAGACCTATCAGTCTCACCTCGGTGCTGGGGAAGGTTATGGAGCAGATAATCTTC